AGTGCCCCCCACACACAGGGCCCCCCCCACACACAGGGCCCCCCCCACAGTGCACCCAACACACACAGTGCCCCCCTTCACACACAGTGCCCCCCCACACACACAGTGCCCCCCCCCACACACAGTGCCCCACACACACACAGTGCCCCCCCCCACACACAGCGCCCCCCACACACACAGTGCCCCCCCCCCCACACACAGTGCCCCACACAGTGCCCCCCCCACACACAGTGCCCCCTCCACACACAGTGCCCCCCACACACACAGTGCCCCACACAGTGCCCCCACACACACAGTGCCCCCTCCACACACAGTGCCCCCCACACACACAGTGCCCCCCATACACACAGTGCCCCCCCCACACACAGTGCCCCCTCCACACACAGTGCCCCCCACACACACAGTGCCCCCACACAGTGCCTCCCACACACACAGTGCCCCCCACACACACAGTGCCCCCACACACACAGTGCCCCCTCCACACACAGTGCCCCCCACACACACAGTGCCCCCACACACACAGTGCCCCCTCCACACACAGTGCCCCCCACACACACAGTGCCCCCACACAGTGCCTCCCACACACACAGTGCCCCCCCCACACACAGTGCCCCCCACACACACAGTGCCGCCCACACACACAGTGCCCCCCACACACAGTGCCCCCCACACACAGTGCCCCCCACACACAGTGCCCCCCACACACACAGTGCCCCCTCCACATACAGTGCCCCCCACACACAGTGCCCCCCACACACACAGTGCCCCCCCCACAGTGCCCCCACACACACAGTGCCCCCACCACAGTGCCCCCCCCCACAGTGCCCCCCACACACAGTGTCCCCCACACACACAGTGCCCCCCACACACAGGGCCCCCCCCACACACAGTGCCCCCCCACAGTGCCCCCCACACAGTGCCCCCTCACACACAGTGCCCCCCCCCCAGTGCCCCCCACACACAGTGTCCCCCACACACACAGTGCCCCCCACACACAGGGCCCCCCCCACACACAGTGCCCCCCCACAGTGCCCCCCACACACAGTGCCCCCTCTACACACAGTGCCCCCCACACACACAGTGCCCCCCCACACACACAGTGCCCCCCCACACACAGTGCCCCCCCACACACAGTGCCCCCCCCCACACACAGTGCCCCCCCACACACACAGTGCCCCCCACACACACAGTGCCCCCCCACACACACAGTGCCCCCCCACACACAGTGCCCCCCCACACACAGTGCCCCCCCCCACACACAGTGGCCCCCCACAGTGCCCCCCACACACACACACAGTGCCCCCCCACACACACAGTGCCCCCCCAAAGTGTCCCCCCACACAGTGCCCCCCCCAACACAGTGCCCCCCGAACACAGTCCCCCCACACACACAGTGCCCCCTCCACACACAGTGACCCCCACACACACAGTGACCCCCACACACACAGTGACCCCCACACACACAGTGCCCCCCACACACACAGTGACCCCCACACACAGTGCCCCCCACACACACAGTGCCCCCCATACACACAGTGCCCCCCACACACACAGTGCCCCACACAGTGCCCCCCCACACACAGTGCCCCCCACACACAGTGCCCCCCACACACACAGTGCCCCCCATACACACAGTGCCCCCCACACACACAGTGCCCCCCCACACACAGTGCCCCACACAGTGCCCCCCCACACACAGTGCCCCCCACACACAGTGCCCCCCACACACACAGTGCCCCCCATACACACAGTGCCCCCCACACACACAGTGCCCCCCCATACACAGTGCCCCCCACACATAGGCCCCCCCCACACACAGGGCCCCCCCCCACACACAGTGCCCCCCACACACAGGGCCCCCCCCACACACAGGGCCCCCCCCACAGTGCCCCCCACACACACAGTGCCCCCCTTCACACACAGTGCCCCCCCACACACACAGTGCCCCCCCCCACACACAGTGCCCCACACACACACAGTGCCCCCCTCTACACACAGTGCCCCCCACACACACAGTGCCCCCCACACACACAGTGCCCCCCACACACACAGTGCCCCCCACACACAGTGCCCCCCACACACACAGTGCCCCCCCACACACAGTGCCCCCCCCACACACACAGTGCCCCCAAAGTGTCCCCCCAACACAGTGCATCCTCCCCCCACATAGTGCCCCCCCAACACAGTGTTCCCCCCCCCACACACACACATATACCCCACATTCCACGGTGATAGGCGCACGCGCTGCGTCACCGCGCAGAGCTCGCGAGCCGCTGCCCAGGAGGCATGCGCGGGCTGCACACACAGACTTGCGACCCCATCACACGCGCACCATCCACAAAGACAAAGATCCCCCGTATAGCCTGTAACAGGCTGATGGGGTAAGTGCGGTTAGCGAGAACATATGAAAGCCGACAGGGCACACGAGGGGTGGGTGGCCAGCACCACGCCCGACCGCCTTTGTCTCCCTAGTGGTAATGTTTACACACCGCACCAGGTATTAATTTGAGGCTGAGTCGACCTAGGGGAGGCCCAGGACCGGTTCAGATAATCATCACTGGTGTTGGTCGTGAGCGGGAATCGAACTCGGATCGCCAGGTTCATAGCACAGCGTGCTAACCGCTACACCACCGCTCCCCACACACACGAACACACGCACACACACGCACACACACTACCACACACTACCACACACACGCAGTCACACTATCACACACATACACTATCACACACACACACTATCACAACAACAACAACCGCCATTCGCCACTAAGTGGCGGTGACGTCACCACGACGCTTGTGCCAGGCCATGTGCACCTTGAGGCTACTATCTCACACACACTATCACACACACACACTACCATACACACGCACACATACTATCACACACACCACCACACACACACCAGTCACACTATCACATACCACCATAGCACATATCGCAGTCGGCGGTGCAAACACCGACAACGTGAACTAGAAAACCCACAGGAATTTCATTTGAACTGTGTACACAGTGTTTTGGAATTCGTGATTTTGGCTTGGCCTGACACCTCTCTCTCTAAATTACACCAATCCGAACGCCCACATCGTCTCAACGCCATTCCCAAAACAAAATGCATACAATGCACACACAGCCATTTGGATCCAGCTAGAAGGGTACCCACTCATTCTATGTCGTGTTGTAATAAAGGACTTCGTCACACACTGCTGGTCTCCGTTGCTCTTCTGGCTCGCACCCCGCTGGTCCTGACAGCGGACCAGCGTCTCCTCACGTGCGCCCCGCACGCGCTCCCTCGTCAGTCCTTCCGCTCCCCCACTCCGCACACCGCTGGCCGACGGTGTGCCGAAGCTCCTCCAGCCACGTGGCTGATGGCGCGGATCCCCTCTGGCCACCCAACGTGGTTCAGCTTCTTCACTCCAACAACTGACCCGGAGCCCTTCTGGGCTCCCACCTATATCCCCTTTACCACGTGATCCTGTCTCCTCCCCTTCCGGAGCGTCAGATCCGGCCTTCCCATAGCGCCCTGCTGGCTCCACCCCCATTCACCTCGCTTCCGATTGGACCCGAGGTGAACGGCGGGCCCTCCCATATGCCCCCCATACTGGGCTCCGCCCCCCAATACCCCGGGCCGTATGATTGGGCCAGAGCCCAGCAGCGAACCCCGTTTACGCTCGCATTACATGACCCCCCCCCCCCCCCCCCTGATGTAAAAGACCAGCCGTCCCGGCTGAAACAAGATAAAATAATGCGACCGACGGCAACACATTCACGAATCACAACAGACACAACGGAGAGCACAATAACGACGAACACAATCAACGAAAGAGAAGGGATCTGGAACGAGTGCGGGTCGCCGGCCCGTCCTCCACGAGAACCGGTGCCCTCAGAGGTCGCAGTCCCAACAGGGTTTGAGGAGCGGTGGAAACGGAATCATTCGCCGCTGGTGGAGGCCTGTCCTTCACAGCACCCCGCTCACCAGAGAGGCCCGTAATCGGGGCCCCTTGCAGCTGCAACCTCGGCGGGGTTGGAGGGGCAGCGGAAGCACCTATTCGTGCCAGAGGCACACGCGCAGGTGGACCCCTGTGGGAGTCGGGAGTGCGCGTCCGCATTAGCGTGATGCGAGCCCTTACGGTATTGAACATCAAACGAGAACTCCTGCAAAGTTTCCAGCCATCGTGCCAGCTGGCCAGATGGCTGGTCAACTTTCAGGGAGTATTGCAAGGCCGCATGGTCCGTGCGCACAATGAATTTCCGGCCATACAAATACGGGCAGTATTGGTGGACAAAATGCACAATAGCTAATTGCAGCCTTGGTCACTAAGGTATTTCCTGACAGAATCATCTTCGACATTCTCCGTATTGATCTTAAGCTCTTTACATGCTCCTATGAAATTGGTTCCACAATCAGAACGGAGTTGCTTGGCTGTCCCTCTGATGGCGAAGAATCTCCAGAGTGCATTTATAAAGCTCGAAGAGTCCATGGACTCGATGACTTCGATGTGCACTGCTCGTGTACTCATACAGGTGAACAGCACTGCCCAACGTTTGCTGTTCGCGAGACCTCCTCTGGTGCGGCGGGAGATGACTGTCCATGGTCCGAACATGTCGATCCCTACAGAGGTGAAGGGAGGTTCCACACTGAGTCGATCGGCTGGGAGGTCTGCCATTTTCTGTTCTTCCTGTTTTCCACGTAGCTTACGACACCGGATACACTTGTGGATTGTGCTGGTGTAACGGGTTCCGGAGACACTTGTAGAGGTAACTTCTTTATTACAATACAACACTCCAACCTTTCAACTCTCCAACAGTCCTGATACTCTGTTACAGCCTAGGTACACAGCCTAGCTACACAGCCTAGATACTCTACTCTGGCTACGCTCTGAAACTCGCCCTCATAAGGTCGTAGAGTCATCTTTGTGTGGGAGCTGGCGGAATGGCGCGGCCGCTGCGCCGCCTCTCTCCCTGCTGCCTCCGCCTGTGAGCGACGCATGTTGTCCAGGATGGAGACGGTGGCGTGGAGCAGCTCGGTGAGGCGAAGCAGCGTTTCCTCCATTGCTGCTCCCGACGCTGGAGGCGGATCGGCAGGTGTGGTGGACGACTGCTCAGCCGGCGGTGCGGCGTCGTTGTCGGCCCGAGTTGGCTGCCCCGTCGCCGCTTGCTCTTCAACATCGCCGTCAGGACTGAAGGTACGTGGCTCACCTCTTGTCTCCATTGCCACTTCTGACGCCAAATGTAACGGGTTCCGGAGACACTTGTAGAGGTAACTTCTTTATTACAATACAACACTCCAACCTTTCAACTCTCCAACAGTCCTGATACTCTGTTACAGCCTAGGTACACAGCCTAGCTACACAGCCTAGATACTCTACTCTGGCTACGCTCTGAAACTCGCCCTCATAAGGTCGTAGAGTCAGGAGTTCCAGAGTCCCAGCGCTGGCTCTCACAGCATCCCAGGGTCTTCAGATGGCTGGTCGTGGGTCGTGGGTCGTGGGTCTTGAGTTACAACTGGGCCCCGATCGTCCAGGGAGCTCTCCTTTTATGCCTGGTCCAACGAGGGGTGGGGCCATGTGCGCCACCAGACATCCCACAGAGCACACACAGCCCCCCCCCCCCCCCCCCCCCCGTTGGCGGTGCCCAGGGGATTAAGTGCCTGGGAACTCAACGCCTGGCGCCCAGAGGCTTAAGCGTCTGGACCCCCTGGGAACCCAGCGCCTGGCGCCCAAAGGCTTAAGCGTCTGGACTCGCCTGGGATCCCAGAGCCCCCAGCAGCCCCTCCCTTCTTATGTTACTACATTACCCCCCTCTACGTAGCCTCCAGCCGTCCCGGCTGTCAATAATTAGAAAGTTTAAATTAACGAAAGGGAGAGAGAGAAAAAAAATATGCGAGCCTCAACAGGAAAAGAAAAGAGAACAAGAAAGCAACCATAAAAACAATAACCAATCTGTACAACTCTACACTATATACAAGCATCAATCAACAAAAAGGTGAAGCAATGACACGTGAACAAACGACCCGCGGCACACCTAGCCCTCCTCGGGATCCGCATAGAAAACAGGGAATTAACAACAACAAATATACAGATTCCGACGCGTTGGATGCACAACCAACACCGGTAATCGAACCGAAATCACACAACCACCGCATGGATGGCAGGGATCCACACCACTCTGCCAGCCTCCCATCCATCAGGTGGAGAGAAGGCGAAGACCAACATGTCGAGCATCCCTCTACACACACTTATCCGGACGTCTGTCTACGTCCCGGGATCGAGAAGTCGTGCTTCAGGGCCGACCCATGTACTGGGCAAAGAAGTCGCCCTTCAGGGCTGCTCCAGTATCTACATTTTTAAATATATATATAAAATTTACATGACACAACCAGAATAAATCTGCCTGCTCCTGTCCATAAATGGTGGCCGCACGCGCGAACCGCATCTCCAAGGCATCCCGTGCTTGCGTCCCAGCAGCCCTCAATGAGGACCACCACCGACATTACATGTCAACCGTTTGCACCCCCCGCCTTTCCAACGTGGCATCTCCATCCGAAAACCGCGCACGTCGGCCATATCGGGGGGGACTTCAACCCAGTCTCTCTCCAAGACTCGCATCGCAGCATATAGCTGTACCAACCAATCTGAGACCCAATCTCTCTCCAAGACTCGCATCGCAGCATATAGCTGTACCGACCGATCTGAGACCCAACCTCTCTCCAAGACTCGCATCGCAGCATATAGCTGTACCGACCGATCTGAGACCCAACCTCTCTCCAAGACTCGCATCGCAGCATATAGCTGTACCGACCGATCTGAGACCCAACCTCTCTCCAAGACTCGCATCGCAGCATATAGCTGTACCGACCGATCTGAGACGACCCATTGTTCACTCCCTGCACAACATGCACCCTAACAACTGAGGGATAGTCCCAACGTAACGGGACAACTACACCTGAACACCACGAATCTCCAGCCCACTGTTTCAACGCGCCTCGGAGTGTTTCAATCTCCGGGCCGTCAGGGCGAGCCTACTGCTCCAGACGTACCACGGAGGGTCTCAACCTCCGGGCCGTCAGGTCAAGCCATCAGCTATTCCATGACGGGACCACACTCTCCGAGCCCTGTGAGCGCACAGCCCACTAGGCTAGACATGCCATGGAGTGTCTCTATCTCCGGGCTGTGAGGTCAAGCCGTCAGCCATAGCATGACGGGACCACAACTCTCGTGTTAGGCACGCAACACCCGCTGGGACATCCTGGTCAGGATCTGCACCCCAAGATATTTGAGAGCCAGCATGACAATTCCAATCCTTGGCAGCATGTCACCATCTCAAGATAAATGCCCCATACAGTATATACATCGTTAACAATGACAGCACAAGCTATACATTAACAATCACGAACAAAGCTCAATATAAACCATACATTGTTAACAATCACAAGCAAAGTTTCGCACACACATTGACAACACTCACGGGCGAAGCTCCACACAGTTTACCCAACAACAGTCACGACTCCCCGACGACAACGAAGAAAATGTCAACAAAAAAATCATTAATCCGGAGCGCAGTAAAATGTACGAAGTGTCAGGGGCCTGGTCTCCCGACCTCCAACCTTTGGCCAGAGCAGCAAAGGTGGCAACGAGCGTGTCGGTCCATGTGCCGGCCCCGGCGCTGGTTACAGTAAGAATGGCGCCCTCACTGTCCGGTCGCAGCGCGGATGACGCGGTGTGCGAGGTTGCAAACAGCTGTCGTCCGGCAGTGAAGGTCGCAGCGCTGATGACGCGGCGTTGCTAGGTTGCGAACAGCTGTCACCCAGCGGTGAGGGACGCAGCACTGATGACGCGGCGTCGTCGGGTAGGCCCACGCTGGGCCCGGAAGTGACGTCGCTCCCAGCGGTCATTGCTCCCCCGGCAGAAGTGACGACACACCCGGATGTATTTGCGGCGGGAACGGCCGCCATCTTTGTGTGGGAGCTGGCGGAATGGCGCGGCCGCTGCGCCGCCTCTCTCCCTGCTGCCTCCGCCTGTGAGCGACGCATGTTGTCCAGGATGGAGACGGTGGCGTGGAGCAGCTCGGTGAGGCGAAGCAGCGTTTCCTCCATTGCTGCTCCCGACGCTGGAGGCGGATCGGCAGGTGTGGTGGACGACTGCTCAGCCGGCGGTGCGGCGTCGTTGTCGGCCCGAGTTGGCTGCCCCGTCGCCGCTTGCTCTTCAACATCGCCGTCAGGACTGAAGGTACGTGGCTCACCTCTTGTCTCCATTGCCACTTCTGACGCCAAATGTAACGGGTTCCGGAGACACTTGTAGAGGTAACTTCTTTATTACAATACAACACTCCAACCTTTCAACTCTCCAACAGTCCTGATACTCTGTTACAGCCTAGGTACACAGCCTAGCTACACAGCCTAGATACTCTACTCTGGCTACGCTCTGGAACTCGCCCTCATAAGGTCGTAGAGTCAGGAGTTCCAGAGTCCCAGCGCTGGCTCTCACAGCATCCCAGGGTCTTCAGATGGCTGGTCGTGGGTCGTGGATCTTGAGTTACAACTGGGCCCCGATCGTCCAGGGAGCTCTCCTTTTATGCCTGGTCCAACGAGGGGTGGGGCCGTGTGCACCACCAGACATCCCACAGAGCACACACAGCCCCCCCCCCCCCCCCCCCGTTGGCGGCGCCCAGGGGATTAAGTGCCTGGGAACTCAACGCCTGGCGCCCAGAGGCTTAAGCGTCTGGACCCCCTGGGAACCCAGCGCCTGGCGCCCAAAGGCTTAAGCGTCTGGACTCGCCTGGGATCCCAGAGCCCCCAGCAGCCCCTCCCTTCTTATGTCACTACACTGGCGATGCACCTCTTTGCTCCAACGATCCACAGCCCTGCAGATCGGATTGCTCCTTCTGTGAAGTGCCGACCTTGGTGCTTGACCTTCTCGTGGTAGTGGCGCACAAGTAAGATTGTGATGTGGCTCTGGCTTGGGATTATGAGGGGGTTTCGTTCATTCTCATCTAATTTTGCATTCCCTAGCCGACCACCAATCCTGAGCAAGTGGTCTTTGTCCATCCTGGGGTTTAGCTTCCTGAGGGTGCGGACCCTAGGAAGGTCTTCTCCCTTGTTGATGACCTTGATCTCACTTGCATAAGCTGCCTGTTGCACACAGTGGAAGATTGATTTCCTTGCTCTGGAAAGCTCGTCTTCAGTGCGTGGCACTGTGCAGTGATGCCATCCATTGCAGCTACCAGTGGTGCCTCTCATCGGGTGGTGGAAGCAGTCTGCGGTATGCGTTAAATGTGCTATCGCTCGCATGAGCGTCGTCCATTTCAAGAAATGTTCAAAATGGTGTGGACTCAGTGGACTTCTTGGTCGCACATTTGTTACGAAAGTTGTCACTTGAGGACGAATCTCCTTGTCGGACTCGGGCTCTATGAGTCCAAAGGTCTCCTTGGCAGTACATGGGCCACTGTCACGTCGTAACAGGAATGCTGGACCCGTCAACCAGATGGTTTGATTCAGCAGAGATGCAGGGACGGACCTAGTTGCGAGATCTGCTGGATTCTGGTAGGTTGGAACGTAATTCCATTGCTCCGGCTGCGTCGATCTCCTGATGCGCTCCACCCGGTTGCTGATGTAGGTGTAGAACCTTCTGGTTTGGTTGTTTATGTAGCCTAGTACGACCTTACTGTCCGTGTAGAACTTGGCCGCGTCCAGTTTGATGTCCAATTCGTCTAAGATCAGTTCCGCCACCTCTGTAGCAAGAACGGCTCCACTCAGCTCAAGCCTTGGGATGGTATGTTCCGGTTGTGGGGCCTTGCCATGGAACTCCTTCCAGGATTCCCACTCGGATGACAGCTCCGGGTCTAGGAATGAAGAGGCCACGGCCGCAGCAACCACCGCCACGACCACCAGCAGAGCGACGAGCAGCGGCTTCGTCTTTGGCTTCCTCTTGTCAGTGAGGACTGGATTGGAGAAACGTGGAGGAATAAAATCCAGCGAAGATGGTGGATGTACGTGCGAAGTTGTGGTCAGCATGGTGGTTTCTTTGTAAGTCTGCACGGTACAGCCTCCACTTCTGTCTCCGAGCTTCTCTTTCAGCGTGAAGTGGTTGGGGCACGGTTTGAAGAGCGACGTGCGTCCATTCACGAGCACACTCGTTCTGAATGTGCTAATGTGGTCTGGTTTGTGTGTTCCATCGAGACAAATGTCACCTACGATGACCCATCCTAGGTCGAGTCTCTGGGCGTAGGGAGCGTCGTGAGGTCCATTGCGTTGGTCGCGAACCTTGTGGACTCTCAGCATGTCCCTGCCGAGCAGAAGTAAAATCTGTGCCGCGTGATCCAATGGCGGGATGAACTCTGCTATGGGTTTCAGGTGTGTGTGGTGACGTGCAACTTCGGGCGTGGGAATCTCACTCCTGTCGTCCGGTATCTCATTGCACTCTGTCACCGATGGAAGGGCTAGCTTCATGGTGCTATCTATGGGTTCCTACCATGAGGCCGCTCGCTCTTCTTCCCGCTGTCTCCATCAGTCCTGAGCATGTTCTGAGCGTGTATGGAAAGGAATTCCCACCTACACTTAGCTGATCAAATAACTCTGACCTTGCCAAAGACCTGTTGCTCTAGTCGTCCATTATGGCGTACATCCTTACTGCCCTTTCAGGATGTCCTTTGGGATAGACTCAGACGAGGCATATCTTTGAGCAAGATCTTCCTTTGAAGCCTTCTCCACAGACTTGTGTGCATTTGGTTGTGATTGACGAAGTGAGTGCGGCGGTCTCGCATTGCTCCCCACCGTGCTCTGCTTCGGGATCGGAAGCCTTAGTGCCACTGGGTTTGGAGTAAAATGTGTGCAGAGCAGTTGCGTGTTTGTCGCTGCCACATTCCTCGCACTTGATATCTGCCTTGCAATTCCTTGCAATCTGGTTTGTAGAAGCACAGCATTTGAAGCACACTCCAAATTATTTCAGCATGTTCTTCCGCTCTTCCAATGGCTTCCTCCTGAACTCACAGCATTTCTGGAGGGAGTGAGGTTCATCATGCAATGGGCATTGCTTCTCTGGATCCTCTATCTTTTTCTTTGTGGTGGTTGCCTGGACGGAGTTTGCGAATGTCGCAGGAGAGACCTCAGTCTTGCGTACGGAAATTGGCACTCTCGCTGTTCCTCGTTTCGCCATCGTTCTTTCCATTTTTGGGAGATCTGGACTGAAAATCCCCGTGGTGCCAAACATGAAACTCGGGTCATTTATAATCTTAGCCAGGTTGCGGATAAACATTGAGAAAAAAGAGAATGGGGGGAATGCAACCTGATGCTCTGACTTGTATCTTGAACCCGCTGTTCTCCATTTTTCCTGCACGTCAAATGGCAATTTCTCTACGATGGGGTTCACGCCATGGTAGGTATTCAAGAAAATGAGACCTGGTAAGTAGGGGTCAGCCTGGGCTGATTCAAGCTCCATCAAAAGATCTCCAAGCTCCCGTAACCTTTTATTGTCTCGACCAGAGATTTTTGGAAAGTTCTGCAACTTCTTGAAGAGAGCCTTCTCAATGGTTTCTGGGCTACCATAGCACTCCTCGAGCCTCTCCCACACCGCATGCAGGCTTGAGGTGGGGTCGTCAATGTTTGCTGACCGGATCCTCTTTGCGTACTCTGCAGACTCATTTCCTAGCCATTGCACCAACAGGTCGAGTTCTTCACTTGCAGAGATGTCTGCATTTCGGATTGCATTCCTGAAGGTAGATCTCCAGGCTCGATAGTTCTCAGAGTGGTCATCAAACTTAACGAGTCCATGTGTTGATTAGTTCGCGGTGAGCCAGGTACCTAGCAAAGTCCCCTAGTCCTGCTGATCCAGGGTGTGTCCATACTGGCGCTTGGGAGGTGGCATTATTGGCTGTATTGCCTTGCATGCCGTCATTCGCGATGGCATTGGACTGTGAGCCCAAAGGGTTTCGATCACGTTGGTTGGATCCCCTTATGTGACTATCTGGAATGTGGGTCTGACTTGGTGCACCCACGTCTGACCCCACGTGCGCGACGCTGAGTCGGCGACTAACTCTCAGGGCAGGATATGCATTTCCACCATTCCCACCGAGTTCACCAGCTTTGAGAGCGACCAACCCACAAAAATGGCCGCTGGCATGCCACGATCCGATCGTTCGGACGATCGATGGATCGCATAATTGTGCGGGGAAAATACGTCCTTGTCGGCCACGCAGCGGAGCACCTTGCACTCACTATTGTCGGAGTACGCTGACGTTTTCAGTAAAAACGATTTGGATTTGGGCCATACCTCGCTCTTGTCGCACCATATCGACACCGGTGCGGCGGGACCGATTTGTATGCACCCGCATCGCATGAGCCCTGCAGAAAGGGAACACGTGCATGGCGCGGTGGATGACATGTTGGCGGCCGATATAATTTCGCTGTCCAACAGTCCTTGGGGCAAACCGGTGGTGCTGGTTAAGAAAAAGGATGGCGGAACGAGGTTTTGTGAAGACTTCCGCCAATTGAATAAGATATCCGTGGCGGACACATACCCCTTGCCACGGATGGACAACTCGTTCGACGCTTTGTCGGGGGCAAATTTTTTCTCTACCCTCGACCTGTCATCTGGGTTTTGGCAGCTTCCCCTCGATGACGCGTCCAGACTGAAAACGGAGTTCCACACGCCACAAGGCCTCTTTGAGTTTAACCGCCTACCTATGGGCTTGAATTCAGCTCCGGTGACGTTCCAACACCTGATGGAACTGGTGCTAGCGGGGCTGCAGTGGGAAACGTGCCTCATATATTTGGACGATATCATCGTATTCAGCCGCACCTTCGAAGAACACCTCCAACGACTGGAGACTGTCTTTCAGAGGATGCGGTCGGCTGACCTAAAATTTAAATCAAAGAAGTGCCACCTTTTGCAACGATCCGTCCGCTACTTGGGACACATTGTCAGCTCTGACGGTGTGTCCACGGACCCTCAGAAAACGGCGTGTGTCCGAGAGTGGCCCACTCCCACTTCGGTGGGCGACGTACGGCGGTTTATAGGGTTCGCATCCTATTATCACCGATTTGTTAAGAATTTCGCGATGCTGGCTAAGCCGCTGCATGTTCTGACGGGGAAAAATCAGAGATTTCAATGGGGCCCGGAAGAGGAGCGCTCTTTTCAATCTCTCCGGGATCGCCTGGCCACCGCTCCAACACTCGACTACCCAGACTTTTCACAGCCGTTCATCCTTGACACGGATGCTAGCAATATCGGCATAGGAGCCGTTTTGTCGCAACGGAAAGACGGGGTCGAGCGAGTGGTGGCATATGGCAGCAGGGTTCTGTCTCCTGCCGAGACGCGATATTGCATGACGCGATGGGAACTGCTGGCAATCGTACATTTTGTTCGCCAGTATCGGCCGTACCTGTATGGAAGGAAATTCCTCGTGCGCACTGACCACGCTGCCTTGCAATATTCTTTGAAATTGGAACAACCCTCCAGTCAATTGGCTCGGTGGTTGGAATCGCTACAGGAGTTTTCCTTCAATATCACGTACCGCAAGGGTACTCACCATGGCAACACGGACGCTCTCTCTAGGTTACCCCCGACTCCTCCCTGCGCCTGTCTGACGGGTACGCACCGCTGTGCGGCGCTGCCTACCTCGCCCTGTCCGGTCATGGGGGCGATGTCGAACGATGAAGGCCAGGATGTACCCGTTGGCGCCGACGACACGCTGCATTTGCCGCACTCGGTGTGGCTACGCGAGAAGGAAGCTAATGCCTCTCTGGCTCCACTGCGGGAACTGATCGGGAAACCGAGATCTCATTTGGCGGGATGAAAATGGCAGTTGTTTCGGGGCCAGGCGGGATTACTGATGTGTACGAATGGGTTGTCGTACCGTTCACGCCTGGTTGTGCCGACGTCCCTTCGCCACGATTTGATCCGCACGCTGCACGCCGACAAGTTGATGCACCTCGGCGTGCAGAAAACATTAGCCGCGATGCAGCAGGATTTTTTTTGACCTGACATGGCAGCGGATGTCACTAATTTTATCCAGTCATGCCATGATTGTGCGAAGCGGAAACCGCCACGTCAAAATTATATCCCGCCCCTACGATCGATCGAGGTATCCCGTATTAATGAGCTAGTTGCTCTGGATATCCTGGGCCCGTTCCCTCCATCGGCTAGGGGATATAAATACCTTTTGGTCGGGGTCGAATACTTTTCTCGCTGGCCTATGGCCTGGCCTCTGCCTGACCAAACGGCCTCATCCATCACCGAGGCTTTCTTGAATGGGTACGTCATGGATATGGGAGCACCCGAAGGGCTGCTCAGGGATCAAAGACGTAACTTCTCCTCTAAATTGCTCAAAGACGTGTGCTCTGCCTTGGGTACAAAGAAAATCCGCACTTCCCCTTACCATCTGCAAACGGATGGCATGGTGGAACGATTTAACCACACCCTTTCAGCCATGCTTTACCAAACGGTGAGTGAAAAACAAACCGATTGGGACTTGCACATAGCGGGCGTCCTGGCGGCATACCGCATGGTTCTGCACGCGTCCACAGGATATTCGCCATTTTTCCTGATTTATGGCCGTGAGAATGTTCCCCCGATTGATGTGCAACTTGGTGCAGCAGGGAAACAAACGTCCCCTTCCTTGCCTGACCACGTGCGGGACTCGCTTAAACGGGTTACGGAGGCGCGAGAGGCCGCCAGATATGCGACGGCCCGTACGCAGGCAAGGAACGAGAGGTATGCGCGTCGATCGCGAACTGACATGCCTTGGTTGGTGGGCGATATGGCATGGCTCCATTGCCCTCAGGTGCCAGTGGGTATGTCCCCTAAACTGCACAAGCCTTGGCGGGGGCCTGTGAGGCTGGTGGACATTCGGAATCCCCAGAGTGTTCGCATCCAGTACGGCCAACGTCGTTGGTATGTTCATTCGTCGCGGCTCAAGCCCTATGTTGACCCGCGTGCTGGCCCTTCATCCCCACCTGTTGACCTGCCGGGGTCTGGCGTGCCGAATGTGCCACTTGCCTCGCCGATTGAGCCGATTGATCCCCAGCGGGGCTGTGTTCTACCCCCTGCAGACGCACAGGTTTTGAAGGACGACGAGACCCCGGACGTTCCACCTCCAACGGGGCCTGTCCCAGACACAACGGAAACCGAAAATTCTTCTTCTTCTCCACAGCAACCACCTCCTGCTGAACAATTCGGCGAGGCAACCATGCGCGAGGGGAGGAGAGGGTCCGGCGTCGCGTACGCGGTCGGAGTCTCTCCCATTTCGCTAATGCTGTTTTCCTTGCGGTCTGTCACCCTGGTGTTACTGCGCTACAGGGGCACCCTAATGTATGTCTGTTGTTTTAAATTCATCTGCGCGTTGACGCCTACTCCCCCTTACCTTGTTAATGCGTCTTAGACACCCTAAGCTTTATTCAAAGGGATTCGGGCTGTCACTCCTTTCCCAGCCGAGACGGCTGACTTTTTACACCGGGGGGGGGGGGGGGGGCGGTGATGTAATGTGAGGATATATCCGGGTCGCTGACAGATCACAACTCGTCACAATGATTGGCTCTGCCGGTCCTGGTCCATAGCCAATGGGGGGAAGCCTAGGGGCGTGGCCCTGACGTAATGGGAAGGTGACAGCTGTAAGTAGAGGATTGGTTCTGCTGGCTTTAGCCACAGCCAATGGGGAGACGAGTCAGGGGTGTGGTCCCGGGAGCCTACGATGGAGTCTGGAAGATTCCATAGAGGCTAACCAGGATTGGTGGAAAGGTACCACGTGACCCGGGTATTAAATAGGAGTGGAGACGAACAACACGTGGTCAGAACTGGAACGAACGGAGGGAGAGGCCACGCGAGAGCAGGGGTCCAGGCTGCCACGTGGATGCGCGCGTCTCTCTCTCTCTATCCCTCTCACGCTGTCTGTCAGCAGCGTGAAGGAGTGTTGTAAAGAAAGACAAATAAAGACCGGACTCCAGAAGTCGCTTCCACGACCTTTATTACATGTCTAACATGGTTTTGCCCAAACAAGGCATTTTCTAGGAACGTAACCCCCGCGTTCGGCGAGGTATTTCTGTAACTAGAATTTTTGCTTCTTCTAAGGTCCCCAATCTATTCACTCTTGCCAATAATTAACATTTCATCTGTTATTGCTTGCCAATTCTGGCCTTAACAGGGGAAGTATGAATTAAGTGATGCAACAAAAACACTCGTGGCTATGTTGTCAATATCGGTGACTGGATGTGCCGTGACAGAAAACGCCACGGGTTCTCACGCAGAGCTTCTTACAGACGGCCTGTCAAGAGATCAGCTTTCATTTCACTTCGTTCATTCCATCTACAATGGAGCCACTGTCTCGTGGCAAACACGAAAGAACACAATACAAATAAGTCGTATGTAAAAAAAAACTTTATCACAGGTCAATCTCATTCTAAATCACATGTGATCCTTTTTTTATTATGATACTCGTTAGAAAATCCTTCGTTATTCCATGTGGGAGCTCGTTTAAGTGATTGTCCAATGCATAGAGCAGCAGTATTTGCAGGCACTGTGTTTACTACTTGCCCTGTTGGTGAAATTAAACTCATCCATCCATCGGCAAGTATATCTATATTCGCAATATGGTCTCAAATACTCAACTCCGCTGCTCGGGAAACTCGCCCCTAACCAAGCCCGTCCCTCTCGAGTCCCGCGCCTATCTCTAACTCGACTCTAACCCCCATGGGACAACGAACGGCTTGTGTGAAGTTTGACGAGGGAGGGAGAGGTGAGGGGGTGCAGGGTGGCACTGAGGGGAGGGGAGGGACAGGCGGAGGCGGAGTGGTGCTGGGTTGAGGGGGCGCGAAGGGGTGGTGGGAGGATGGGAGGGGGTGGTGCTGCTGCGTGGTTGAGCAGCAGCAGGGGGAGGAGGAGGAGACGCGCGTGGGGGCAGGGCTGTAGTTAGGGCTGGGCTCTGCCTCACACGGCGCTCACGGGATCGCGACGCGAGCGGAAAAGTCGCTAGAGGAGGCGGCAGGGACTGGAGCGAGAAGGCGAGACGGCAGAGGAGAGAGAGACGAAGATCGGGACCCACGTCCCGCGTCGCTCGGGCTGCACCTGCGTCACCAGTTAAACTCACTTCACCTCCGTCACCAGTTTAACTCACTTCACCTGCGTCACCAGTTCAACTCACTTCACCTGCGGCTGCTACCGCTGCTGTCGGGCCCCTGGATCGCCCAGGTGAGGCTGTGGGGATCGTGGGGCGATCGGCGCCGCTGCGAGTGTTGAGTTTTTGCGGAGCGGTGGGGCAGTGGTTAGCGCGCTGCGACCCGAGTTGGATTCCCGCTTACGGACAACAGCAGTGGCGACCATCTGAAGCAGGTCCAGCTGAGCCGCCCTTGTGTAGACTCGGTCTCAAGTGAGTACCTGGAGCGGTGTGGAAACATCGCCACTGCGGAGACATGATGTGCCGTGCCGGCCGGCCTTCATAGACGCTCGCAAACAACGATCGCCAGCCTGTGAAAGGTGCTGTAGTGATGTACTGTATTCGGGGTGGTGTTTGAGTTGTGTGTTGATGAGTGGGAGCGGGTCCTCCCGTTGTCGCGACTAACAGCAGTGGCTGGTGCTGTCTCACCTGGTCTCCTTGGGCTGCCCGAGATCGATTCGAATGTAAACAGCAGCAGGACCGCCACCATGGCGAGGGGATGTGAACTTCCTCGCCTGCTCTACACGAGCTCGTGTGTTCGAGCTCGACCCTGGTGATGCCTCCTATATATGTTTGGAGTTTGTGTGTCTCTATTCTCCCGTGATCGCGTGGATTTTACTCCGGGTCCTCCGTTTAGAGTCAACATGACGCGTTTAGAGTATTCGGCTGCTCTACATACCCACACGATAGGGCCACTTCGGGGAGCTATCATCTGTGGCCAGGTCGCTCCCGAAAAAGTGCTATATAGCTCAGTGGGCCTTACCTGGTCAAATAAAAATAGCAACAGCAGCACTTATCCGCAAAGTGACGAGGTCTGTGTGTGCGTGAGAGAGATAAGAGTTGGTCATTCGGTGTGTGCGAGATGTGAGTGTGAGTGGGTGTGCGATGTGAGATGAATGTGATGTGAGTGTGATTGGATGTGAGATGTGAGCGAGTGTGGGACGTGAGTGAATGGGTGTGCGTGTGAGATGTGTGAGTGGGTGTGCGTTTGAGATGAGTATGAGATGAGTGGGTGTGAGATGTGTGAGTGGGTGTGAGATGAGTGTGAGACGTGAGTGCGTGGGTGTCGAACTTGTGCCGAGGGTCGCGTGGGGGCCACCGCACAGCGCTGATGTGCACCCCCCCGCCCCAAACGGAGGGCGAGGGAGCTGTGCGTGGAGGCGACGATGCGACCTCATCACATCCATCGTCGCCATCCTCACCGCGATCATCATCACCACCAACAGGAGCGCCGTCGTGCATCGCTCATAGACGGCGTGTGGCACGCTCTGACAAAAGCACGCCGCGCGTATAAATACAACGCAGCTCCAGTGTTGAGTTGCACAGTGGAGTTCGCGCTTACAGTGCCTGGTTGTTGGTGTGTGTGTGTGATGGGCGAGTGTGTGTGTGTGTGATGGGGGAGCGACATCCGGGGTGAACTCATTCGCGGTCACTCATTCACCCACCCACTCACCCACACATTCACTCACACATTCACTCACTGACTCACTGACTCACTATTTACTTACCCATTCACCCACCCATCCAATCACCCACCCACCAAATCACCGACCCATATACCCATTCACTCACCCGATCAACCATTTATCCACGAATATTTCCCTCATCATAAGTGTGGCGTAGCTACACCAAGTCACATCCACTCTGTAGGGAGAGGCGATCTGGTGTTTGTAAAAAAAACTTTGTCCTGAAGGGGTTGCTAGAAGGGCGAGTAAGTGGCCTTTGTGTTCGATTGTTGCACAGCGCCCGCTAGGGCGGTGTCGGTTCACGTAATTTAATCAGGGGGCGGTTTTAATTGATATGCTAACGAGAGCCAGTTAAACGTACTAAGTCATCACCCTCATCACATCCCTCACCCATCATCCACATCACGGCCTCCCCCATCACAGCCTACCATATCACGACCATCACTGCCAAGGACGCTCGAGTGAGCTGTGTGCCTATGTTGAGTGATATTTTTGTAATGTATGGTACAGCCATTTGTAGATCTACTGCTGGATGAGAGCCTTCCCAAGCCACGCCGGTCATGGGTGTTATTTAATCGTAATTCATCACACTGTTCAGTGAAGGAGGAGTGGCCCACTACTGGTTGAGATGTTAGCCAATGTCAGGAGTTGAATTACAGGTCGCCGTATGTATGTATATTGAACTTATTTTGCACCGTACGTAGTCAATCGTGCTAATCGAAGATGCGGGGCTCAGTTAAATGATCTAACCACTGCCACCGCTCCACACACGTGTCACTGTGGATTGCGTGTGTGAGTGAGGACTGCGCGATGTAACCTTCTTATAGCTGCAGATGTGCAGCATCGCAACCCCCACAATCATCACCATCATTCCTTCAGGGTCGGTAAAATATACACCACCTGTTGATAGCATCACGGACTGCACGTCAGCAGTGCTGGTTGCATTTAATAAGGAATTAACTATGGCTTGTCATGGGAACGTGGAATTGCTAATAGTGAGAAGTCGGCGCCTCTGTGCGTCTGGTGAGGTCACGGAGTAAAGAGTTGGATGTGAACCCATGGGTGGGTTTTAATCGTGGATTAACAGGCTCCAGTCACAAAATCATGGTATGTTCCTTGCTTGGTGGAAAGTCAATAGTGAGTGTGTTTAACTAATTCCTGGCATGGTAATGTGGAATTTCAAACGGTAGAAATGTAACAGATGTTGCAGTATTTAATGGGACTGGTCCCTGCCATAGCAGTGTGGAACGTACACTTGGTGTGAATCAGTATTGGAAGGGCGTGCTTAATGGAAGAAGGATTATCACCGGAAATGGGAACGTGACATTTCCACCAATCGGTGGAAAGCCATCAGCAAACGCTTTATTAAATATTCATAGAGTCCTGCCATCATCATGTAGAATTACTCGATTGGCCAAAGGCCACGTGTGGATGAGCACTCCCTTGGGTCGCTGGAGCTGGGCAAGCAGAGGGGTGGTGCTGTGGCGTGGGCGCCCTCTGATGGCCACTGCGTCGTGCCGTCCACACGGGCTTGGCTTGCGGTTCACGTCCACTCGAGAGTGGGAACCTTGACAGCGAACGTCACAGAAGTGGCCTCCTTGCAGGGCCCTGGAAAGCAACGCCTCAAAGTGTCTTGAGCCAACACGTGGGACCTACGGCTCGTGGCTTGGCCATATACCGTCTTTTCCCGCATATAACCCGCGGGGCACACCCACTTTTTACAAACAAAACAATGTTGAGGTGCGGGCTATCCCAAACATATTTTACACGTGTGACATGTCATAACTCGTTTA